GACAAAATCCATGGTGATCTTTTCCCATTTCCACATTGGTATGTCCAAGTTATGGACTAATCCGGCTGGTCTTTGGTGCTCAACCTTTACTTGCTGGCAAGTGAAACATTCATCCGATTATGATTGATTTGATCTTGTTACCTGGTGACTACAAATGTCACTTCTTGTAATAATTCCATCAGTGCATTGTTGTCTATTGAGTTTCCTGAGGTGGATGCACGAGTAATTCTAGATCTTATCATTTCACTTATCGTTTGATTAAGATCCTTATCTCCGTTAGGAGGTGTTTGTTCATTACCTGTAGCCATATCTCTCTATAGATAATAAAATGTTTAGGTCAACTGTTATACAAGAAATAATTTCTGAGTCAGCCACATATACGCAATTCAAGTAATTATGAACTCAATTATTACTCAACATAATAACACAAATCTGTATTTACAAGCCGAAAGTATATTATTAATAATTAACTTTTTAGTCCATACATATATCTGAGTACATGGGTTTACATATATACATATTTTCTACCAAAATATCCTATATATACCAAAAGAGTAACTACGAAAACCCATATACTAATATTACAAAATTATCCTAACAGTTACACTCTATTTCATCGAGGAAGATGAGCTGCTGGAGCTAGACTTCTCCTCGGTTGGCTCGGTCTCATCCGAGTCTTAGTTATTATCAGAGTCGGACATTGGATCTGAGTCAATACTACTAGTCCCCCATCCTTCAAGATCGAGGTCTGGACTAATACGCATGGTATTCGACTCATTCTCAGAAAAAGAGAGTCCATCATTATCACTAAAAATCTGGACCACCTGGGATTCGGTGCTAGAGGGATCGAACGAACCCACAATAACTTCTGATGGTGATGACTCAACTGGAATAACCTCTACTGCTAGATCCTCGTCATCAGAATGATCAACCTTAGACTCCGATGAATCTATTATATTAACTTCTACTGATTCGACCTCCGATAAGTCTGGGGTCACATGGTCAGCCACTATCAAGCCTGAGTCAGTCTCATCAGAAGTGTACTCTCGGTCTCTTAAGCTAGGACCGCTAGGTTCCCAGGAGCTGTCTACAGAAATTGTATAGCTAGAATGGGTGTCTGAAAAACTGGTTAATGAATGTGTCACCGTCATCCTACAAAAAGGGGACCATCTATCATCATACTAAAATAAAGGGACAGAAATAAAATAAAATAAACATGTATTAAGAAATACTAGAAAATTCTAAAATGAAATAAGGTAAACTAAATCCCGTAAGTACCCTCCTTAAATATGTAAAAGGCCTAACTATAAAACATTCATATGCTTACACGTATATATATATATATATATATATATATCACATAGCTGACACATACGATAACACTCATCCAGCGCATATACACTATGCTAACGTGTCCTACAAGGCTTCTAACGTCGAAACCTAGGCTCTGATACCATCTTAAACACATAAAATTTTTGTTTCTTTTTGCAAATCCTTGTTTTTAACTTCATAATCATAACAAGTTATCATCCTCACTCATTCTATTTTGATTCAAATTACTAAAACTTACTATGAAATTTGAAAGTGGGTTATACCTCAATTGATTGAGATATTGATTTGTTGCCTTGGTCTTCTTTTCTCCCTTCAGAAGCTTTCTATTGATCCCATAGAGTTTTGTTGAGGATGAGAGAGTATTCTTCGTTTTTTGCTTTTTTTGTGGGGTTTTTTTGAATTTTTCTCTGTTTTATCCCTATGTTGAGGAGGCTATATTTTCTTTCTTATGTGTGCAACTGAATACACACTATGATGTTTTCTAGAATCAACCCTTTTTAAATCAGGGTCAACATTAAGAAAGAAAAAAAACTACTAATTTGTACAAAATCAGAAGATTATTATTTTCTTAATTTCATAGTCAATTGTCAGAATCTTAATTCTCAATGAGTTATTCGTGAATGTGAAAGTCACCTCATAGGTCACACCAAGGCTACGAATTATAGCTTAGTAGTATGGGAATGCGTAAAACGCATCACATAATAGATAATTCTCGAAAATCGAATGCACCTAATACCATCATAGGTTATTGGCCAAATACAGAGGGGCCAGAACAAATTTCAGAGGGGCCAATACAGAGAGGTCAATACAGAGTGGCCAAATAAAGGTGCATTCACCATATGGCAAGCAGAATCACTCCATAGTGAACTTTTTGAGGGTTTGAAAATATCGAGAATCACTTGTTAAATGAGTAACACCTTGCGTATCAGAATTTATAGATATTTTCAAATGACGTGGACAAGGGTAAAACTCGTTATCCCAGTTAAAACAGTTTACGGATTTTACTTTTCTTTATTTTTTATCAAATACTAAGTCACAGAAAATTTTTGAATCCATGAAACTGTTGAAACACGTTCTAAATATTTATTTTCTTCAAAAGCTTTCAAATAAAGCAATTCCCACAATTATTTGAAATCGAATAAGAACCTAATTCACTTTTCATAGTTTATATAAAATCAAATTGATTTTTCATATCTTGTATGAAATCAACATCGTATTTATGGTTTAGGTCACAACAAAAGTAGATCAAATTACCTTTTAACTTTATATATATAAAAATGATATATTATTTATTTTTCGATTACAAGATAAATCAAATATAATACTCATGCAATTTCATATTATAAAATACTAATGAGAAATGAACTCACCTCTAGTGGACACGACTTTTCCTCTCTTTTTTTTCCGACTGGGCCGTCTGAGGTCTCTCTCTCTCTCTCTCCCCCATGACGACAAGAATCGCCGACGTCCAGGAGCGGCCGACGATAAGACCCCCACCGGATCTAAGGTTAGTAATTTTTTTCCAGTCCATCACATACATCTTAAACACATAAAAATTGTTTCTTTTTGCAAATCCTAGTTTTTAACTTCATAAGCGTAACAAGTTATCATCCTCACTCATTCTATTTTGATTCAAATTACTAAAACTTACTATGAAATTTGAAAGTGGGTTATACCTCAATTGATTGGGATATTAATTTGTTGCCTTGGTCTTCTTTTCTCCCTTCACAAGCTTTCTATTGATCCCAGAGAGTTTTGTTGAGGATGAGAGGGTATTCTCCGTTTTTTTCTTTTTCTTTTTTTGTGGGTTTTCTTTGATTTTTCTCTGTTTTATCCCTCTGTTGAGGAGGTGCCGCCCCAAGCATCAAATGACTTTTAGCCATTAAAACATTAATTAATGTGACAGTTAAACAAGAGCTGGGGGGGTGAAATTCCAAAGAAATCCCTAATTAGTTTTTCCCGAATCTTTATTTTAAAAATTTTTCTCCATTAATCCAATTTTAAGACACTAATTACTTAGGTTACTACGCTCTCCCCTCCTAATAAAAAGTTTCGTCCTCGAAACTTAACATACCTATATCTCAAAAGAGCTCTGGATATTTCTCTCGCATAGAATCTTTTGTCTCCCAAGTAGCTTTTTTTTCAGAGTGATTCTTCCACTAAACTTTCACATATTTGATTATTCTCATATGTACCCTCCTTAAATATGTAAAAGGCCTTACTATAAAGCATTCATATGCATACACGTTTATACATATGTATACAAACATATATATCACATAGCTGACCCATACGATAACACTCATCTAGCGTATATACACTATGCTAACGTGCCCTACAAGGCTTCTAATGTTGAAACCTAGGCTCTGATACCATCTTAAACACATAAAAATTTTGTTTCTTTTTGCAAATCCTAGTTTTTAACTTCATAAGCGTAACAAGTTATCATCCTCACTCATTCTATTTTGATTCAAATTACTAAAACTTACTATGAAATTTGAAAGTGAGTTATACCTCAATTGATTGGGATATTGATTTGTTGCCTTAGTCTTCTTTTCTCCGTTCAAAAGCTTTCTATTGATCCTAGAGAGTTTTGTTGAGGATGAGAGGGAATTCTTCGTTTTTTTTCTTTTTCTTTTTTTTTGTTGGTTTTCTTTGATATTTTCTGTGCTTTATCCCTCTATTGAGGAGGTGTCGCCCCAAGCATCAAATGATTTTTAGCCATTAAAACACTAATGTGATAGTTAAACAAGAGCTGGGGGGTGAAATTCTAAAGAAATCCCTAATTAGTTTTCCCTAATCTGTATTTTAAAAAAATTTCTCCATTAATCTAATTTTAAGGCACTAATTACTTAGGCTACTACATATTACCTACATAATTACCATTGGGTCGAAATAAAGAAAACTGAAAAAATCATGGGTGGCCCCTGAAAATCACGAAATTTGAAGTATGGTTAATCAATTGACATTGGGTCAAAACACATGCATACACACAAAAAGAGTATCTGATAATTTTTTTAATTTGTAGACGTTAGTGGACTACATTCTGTTTTCTTGCTTCACTTAACAAGCTACATTACTACAAATTATGCTAGTTTGTTCATTTGTAATTTATTAGTCTGTATAAGCACTTGCTATATGGATTACGGGTTTTGGGTCTTTTGTTCCTTCTAGTTGTTCGCGATCTCCCTGAGTTTCTCTTTCTCTCCATCTCTTAGCACGTGTCTCATTTCTATACTTCCATTAGCTTCACCCTGGAGCTTCCTAATGCAGAATTGCCTCGGTTATCTCCTGCAATTTCAGCGCAGTTTCCCATTTAAGAGTGAATTTTCTTACTTTATTTCTGAATCGTCAAACTATAGTGACATAATTTGAACAATCTAAGAATTGCCATGTAGTTTTTATTTTTGCTAGGAACCACATTCAAATTCTTATCATGGTTGGTCTATGGTGATAGCATTGAGTAGAAACAATTTAACTTGGCTAATGTTTTAAACCTTCAATCAAATTTTTGGACTTTCTTTTTGGATTACAGGTATTTTGTTTCTCTGTCAGCTTCTTGTAGTGATGTGACAGCAAAACCCGTATTTGGTCAATGAAGGAATTTGATATCCGCTTTGGAGCAAACTATCAGCAAGTAAGCAGATAAAACATACAACAAAATCAAATACAAAACAACAAAATCCCTCTTAACACTAACTCTGTAAAATCACCCAAAATCTCAGACAGACACACTATTAGGAACCCCTCTTCCACTAATCCCCGCAACCCTCCTAAAATCTGAAGTACTCGGATAGAGCAAAGTATAAGCAACACCAACCTCCCCTATCCTATTCTTCAACCTCTCATCCTTATTCCTCTCCTCGATCCTCTTCTCAATCCTCACCAGCTCCTCTCTAAACCTCTCAAAAACCTCCACTGCCCTTCGATCCGATGTCCACTCCTTATCCTCCCTCTGCCCAATATAAACCTCATCACTCGAGTGCATCGACAAAATCTCTAACACTGACATAACCGTTAATGCTTGTGCCTTGCTCGTTATACTCTTAAGTAACAACCCCTCAGGGTCATTTTCAATCTCATCATACTCTTTAGGATCTGGCATTGGATGTCGAATGAATGTGGGTCGGTTTGGGACAAAGCCAGCATATGCATACTGGCCGAAGTTGAGGGAGGCATGGTAGGCAGAGGCAAGCCAGATGAGGATTGTACAAACTTCGGTTAGGGATGATAGGGTTTGCATGTTGGGCCACCAGGTTTCGTGTTTGAGGTCCCCGTGGCCAAGTTCGCGGAGCTCGGTCCACCAGGTCTGGAGCTCTACGTCACATTGGAGGGAGATGTCAGTGGTGTAGTAGAGGGAGGAGTAGGAGGAGACATAGTTTTGGATGGCACAGTAGATCTCAAGGCCGTCGACTGCGTAGGGGTAGTCAGAAATTAGGAGACGGAGGGTTTTGTTGTTTTCCATTGCTGCTACGCCCCTGGGAATTGGAAAGAACGCTGTTAATATGTGCTAATAGCTAACACCATTAATGTTGGATGGACATAAAGACATGTTTGGCAACCAGAAATTAAATAAAAAGTAAAAAATTAGAGAAAATATTTTCTCAAGAAAGTACTTTCTTATTATTTTCTATTCTGAGAAATTTTGTTTGGATGATAGGAGGAAACAAATGGAATGCTGATGTAGCATATGACATGACATTTAGTTTCTACTTGTTCTATTTGGTTATCATAGGAAATGATAGTAGAAAGCGTACAATTTATGCGAAAAAGATATGTAAGAAGTCTAGAAATCTAGTTTCTCCCTCCTCTCCCCCAACTTTCCATTCACTTTAAAAAGCTGATGTGACACTCTTTACTTTCCATACTCCAAACAAGAGAAATTGGAAAGTGGCGTGACTTTCCTATTTTTGGCTCCATTTACATATGGTTGCCAAACATGCCCAAATCTCTACTGCTCCTGCAGTGGAGAGAAATATTTTTAATTACAATTGCGCATTTGTCAATTACAATTGTCCATTTGCTATGTGGCACGGACACGGCTCCGACACGGCCATCCGACACGTCGACACGAGGCAAATCCTAAAAAATACATAGGATACGCGTGTTCGATACGTGTGTCCGACACGGACACGACACGACATGGCTTCATGTTATGCGTGTCCGTGCTTCATAGTCCATTTGTCAAGTAAACGATTGTGATTCATCTAGTTGGATGTAAAGTAGGAATGAGCAAAATGCCAAAATGTATGGAAGTAATGATACGTGTTAAAATCTGAGACTAAGTAGTACTCATCCACAAAACAAATAATTGGCAGTGATTAAAGGTAGCAGTCACTTCATTACGTTTTTGGTAATGGAGAGGACACAAATACGTAAATGCTAGATGGATTTCCCAACTGATCTCTTTGTCACAGAGAAATTTTCTTTTTCTTTTAAGGGTAAAATAGTTGTGTAATTTTCACTCAGGGGTTCTATGTACCAAAATGAAGCTACAAATGTAATAACTTCCAAAGGGTGATACTACAGGGAATCTGTGCAAGTAAACGTTTGCTTTATTCAAATTATAGGATATTCCTCTGTAACTAACTATAATCTTGGGACACATTTTTTCTTTTTACCTTGAAATATACGTGTAAGAGAAGATATTTTGGAATACCTTTTGCAGAGATCAGTTGGGAGTGCATGATCCATGAGGTTCCAGCTTTTATAAATCTCTGATGTCAAACTCATTGCGAATTTTCCGGGAAAGAAGTTTCTCTCTACGGGTCCATTTGCGTGTATGAGGAGCTGGCGAGCCAAGGAGTTCATGTTCATGGTGTCTCTATAGTGAGGGCTCAGCAACTTGTAGATCGGGTGCATAACACTGAGCTGTCTGTTTGTCGCTATAACAAAGGGTTCAATTGCTGCATGCGTGTAAAGCCTGAAGAAGTCAAAACAGCTGTTATAAGATTGAAAAATTAAATTAGATGTGCATATGTACGTGCTTAAGGTTTTATGGGAAGATAAGGAAATATTTGGTGAAGTATGTCCATAAACGATCCCCATTGCTCATCATGGTATAAATGCATTGGAACGCGTATCTGCGTTAAACCTTGGTATTTGAAGGTCTTCAGATACGATGAATCTGGTGGTCTATGTTTCTTTTATGATTGAGAAGTACCACTTAGAACCAGTTGGATTCATAACTTCGAGAAAATGGTATGAATTTCATCCATGAGCAAATATAGGACGTGACTGAGAAGGTACCCCTTTAAGCATGACATCCTTGTATTTCTTTACATTATAATTATTTTTCTTCTATTTAACAGTTATTTTCTCGCTTTGTAGCATAAAAGAAAACTTTTTATAATTCGTTAGTTTTTCTCTTTTTTTTTCTCTCTCTCTCTCTCGGTTAATGACATGCATGCTTTTTTAATTGACGTTGATGATTTGTCGAAAGGTGGATTGTAAAATGATGTGTTTTTGTTGAGTTTACCTTTTAAGTCAAATTCGTTAATATGTAAAAAGTTTGCTTACTATATTTGAAGGTGAAAAGAAGTAGGATCTCATACCAGTGGCTAACAAGTTGATGATGGCCCGAGTCGTTCACTGCTACGAATGCCTTCGCTATCCTCCATAGAGCTCCATTGACCCCATCCTCTGCAGGGTAATAAAATCTCTTTACATATTCATCTTCTCCAACTGCATCTATTAACATTATCCCTCTCGGACTCAATGTTCCATCTTTCTCCAAGTACACTAGTGTTTTTGAGGCATATACTTTGTTGGTAGTAAGATCATATATTTTCCTTTGGTACTCTTTAAGGTAGGAATGATCCAATATGAAGAACCTCTTGTTATCATCTCCCTCCTCTTTTTCTTTGGTAGGTGGAATTACCCATCCGTCCTCATTTTCATCTTCATCGTCGCTTGCCTGTAGAGGCACGAAATGGCAATAATTGGTATGGGTATTTTTCCATTTAATTCATGTCCTTACTAATTTTTCTGACTATATGTGTGTTTTTTTTTTAAAAAGAAATACCTCCGTCTGATTTGAAACTCTCTCTGGCTGTTTATTGAACTCTCGTATTTCTTCCTCCTAACCAAATTACAAGACGTAATGAGTTAATTATACCATACCAATGAAATGTGCTCGTGTTATCATCAATTGGAAAGGAAATTATTAATTGTGAATCTAAGAATTGTGCAAACCTTGGCAGCACGAATTAGTACCGGATGGAGACCGGCGATCATTTGCCGCGCAAATTCTTTGTCCGTTGACCACAGAGCAGGTTTATCATCATCTGATATAATCGTTTTGTCTCAGTTGTAAAATGCCAACATTTAAAAAAAATTCAACCTTTCACAGAGGTGCCATATATGGAAAGAGATATATAAGCAGTACGGTACATTTCCTTCAAAAATCGGCAAAAACCAGTCTCCAAGACATTTCAAACGCTAATTTAGGTGAAAAAAGATCGTTGCAAAATAAACAAATAGATAAGTAAACAAACAATTTATCAACCCACATTTTGTTTTTGAATGCTAAATAACTATGACTGACTAAAATTGTATAAATTGTCTTTTAAGAAATTGATTTTCTTGATTTCTCCCAAAAAATGTTATTCTTTATCTAGATGAGTAGCATAGGAATATCAAATTAAATCAGTCGAAGAAGGAATCTAGGCCGGTTTGGCAATTTCACAAAACTAGACCAGAATTCAGTTTGGAATAAACTATAGACCGAAACTGACCTAGTTTTTCCTAGATAAAAAAAAGGAGCATTAAACCGTTCTGTTTTGATCCACCTCCCTAATGATTATAGTTGATTATATAGTTTTTTTTTTTTTGCAAATTCGCAAACAGAGCCTAAATTTGTAGACTTGAATGATTTGGTGGTATATTTATATATAAAAACCCGAGCAGATTGTTTTTAGCATATTTTCCAATTATCTTTGTTAATAATCTCTAACTAATGTACCTTTGCTAATAACTTGAGGCAGTGGAAAAGCGAACAATTTCTGATCTCCATCTGTTCTCAAAAGCTCCTTGATCGTCTCAAAGGGGATCCAATCTATAATCTTTGAGATAAAACTAGGCATCTCCATGGATCCTTTGTAAAGATCCATTACGTCTTTGAACGAACCGAACTCTTCCTCTCCTTTGCCCTTCACTGAGCTGGCTTTATCTGCCTTGAGTTTAGATGCAATGAAGTCTGAATACTTAAGGTGTCCAAAATACTCGTCACACGGTAGATAGTCACCTGGAAAAAAAAATTTAAAAAAAAAATTAGTGTTATAATTATCAAACTCAAAGGGCTAAATGTTAAACCAACAGAAATTCTCCTGATTTGATAATTGATACAATATGTTGGAAATGTCTAGAGTGAGAGAGCGATTAATTCAAATAGAAAACATGACTAAAATATGACAACTCAAAATATTTTGGTTAATTTGATTCTCTATCACATCTGATTGAGTTCCAATTAATTTTCATTTGATTATACCAGAATGTTCAATTTCACCAAACAAGTGATATTTATAGCCTGGGTTATGTCAAAAATAGAAAGTCAGAGCTCGGCGAGTTCATGAAAGTGACCATGCAGGTCAACTATGGAAAAATCTTACGGCTGCTGATGTGGCATGTTGTTGTCTCGTTGTTGTCAGTTTAGACTAGTATTTATGATTATGCATGAATTGTAATATTCATGTTATTATCTGTATATATATATAGCTGACTGTAAAGACTGACAGATAGATTTGTAATTAGAATTCCTCTCAAGCGCGCGGATCATGATTCATGATGAAATTAAATTGAGTTTCGTATACTTAGGAATGAAGAGAGAGAGAGAGAGGGAGTGTGCGTGTGTCGGAAATTCATATGTCAGTATAATATTATCATGTGTTAGGAAAATTAATGAAATTAATAGAATAGTACGTAATTTTTAAATAGGAAAATATATGGTTGTTTGAGCTATATACCATTCGTTAAGGGACGTCCGGTTCGGCCTCGTCGTGGATAAGGAGACTCTCTAGAACCTCCGAGAACCGGTCGTTCATATTCTTCGCCTTTTGATGGATCGCCGAGATCATTGTACACATCATAATCATAAACTCTATCATGCTCCTGTAGCTTCCCATAGGCTCCATTTCCTCTCAGAACTCTGAGCTCATCTTCTCTGTACGGTATTAATGGCTTCGGTGTCCTGCTTGGTAGATAAGTCTGCAGCAAGAATATTTTAAGAATTTGTTGTCAGGTAGGATGTTAATTAGAAAGAGCAAGTTGCATGTATGTATGTATATTTATTTATTTATTTTTGTAAGTAGCCAGCCGCAAAGTTGACTTCCATCATGCCAGCTGAGTCTCTTCATTGCTTTATAGTCGGAGTCGGCGAAGTTGTATGTACTTCCTTTCGCCTTGGCATTTTTTATGGAGTTATTTGTGGGTATACCTAGGGCTGAGCACGGTTCGGTCCAAACCGAAAAAATCGACCGAACCGATCCGAACCGATCCGAAAAAATCGGTTTTAAGAGTACGGTGGTTCGGGTCGGGTTGAAAACTTTTCAACCCGAAACGACCGAATACCCCATGGTCTAAATACCCGTTCTGCTCAATCCCGACCCGTCACCAAAGACAAAGTCTCAGACTCGCAAACCCTAAACACCTAAACTTCCATTCCCCCTTTCCCAGCCGCCTCCTCAGTTCTTCTCTCACTCTCTCTCTCACTCCTTAGTCCACACAGTTCCACGGTCCACCTCTCTCACTTCCTCTTCCTCTTCCTCACTTCCGCAGTCTTCATGGCCGAGGCCGAAACATCTCCTCAGGCTCAGGATCTGTCTCCGGCTTTGGGGGGGGACACCCGCACCCATCACCGTCGCCGAGGTATAAACTTTATCTTTTGTTTTTTTTCAAGCTTCTGACTGCGAGTAATTAGGGGACCTTTTGCAACTATACATCATTTAAGGGGTATATATATATAAATAAGACCCACAAAATCTATTAAGTTGTTTTAATTAGATGCTAAATATTAAATTGATTGAAATAAGACAAACAAATATGAAGATTTTTGGGGGTCTAATTCCGAAGTATGAAGATTATAAGAATTTAGATATTGCTATCGAAATTATTATTTGGTCCCTCTATTCTTAAGTTATCTGGAAATTGGTCCCTCAAATCACATAAACTACAATTATTAAGCTATTTAAAATTAGTAATAAGCTTAATGAACATATACCAGTCACATATCATAGAAAATTTTCCTTCCCAATTTTTTTTCTGAATGTTAGACCCCAGCATTTTGATCTTCATGCATGCTTTATGATGAAACTTTTCTTTTATACCACGGACAAAAAAATCTATTATTGAAAAACCATTAACTTTCTATTCTTGATTTTCATTATTTTTAGCACACGCACGCCATAGAGCACCATGATTAACATATTAGCGAGACCTCTTATATGAGTGAATAGATTATTATTTTTTTATCATTTTCTTTTTTGAACTTTATACATTTCTCCTTAGGTGTAAGGTTGCCATATTATGTTAATCTCAATATCATTATCATCGTCATAATGTAGCTATATTTCACGTACGTCATTGGCGAAGAAAATCCTGTCGTACGAGTATTTGTACGCCGGGTAGACCCACGAGTTGCACACAAAATGCATCCGACCCTTGCCGGGTATACCCTCCACCGTGACCCTCTTTAAGAGGAACTCGTATCTGTGATGATTTTTAACGATGACAGCTCCGGGGAGCCCCAGGGTTTTCTCGTCCCAATTGAAGTTGACCGTGAACTGAATCTCATCGGCGTACAGAGACCCTATCCTTGTGATCCATCCTTCGATGTACGCTGGCTCTCCGACTTTCCCCATGTCCCTGTCATCTGCATCATCAAAAATTAATGTTATCGACAATTGTTTTGGAACATGCACGTACAGTTCAGATGTGAAACCTGCAGTCCCGATCTTGGCTTCACTATTAAAAAGTCACGCTTCAAATAAACGACCTTAGAGAAGAAGACAAGTTGAACACGAGCCATGAATTAAGATGGGGACAAATTTCTAAAAACAATCGTTTTTCAGCATTAATGAGCAAAATCGACAATTTCAAAAAAAAAACAGCAAAATCGATCTTTTTCATCTGAAAAGGGTCGATTTTGCAGCTGTAAATTTTTTTGAACTGCACGGGACTATTAGTAATAGTCCCGTGCAGTCTATCTCCCTCTCTTCTCACTCCACCTGCCTACTCTCTCTTCTCCTCACTCACCTCCCCCCTCTCCCAGCAGACCCTAGCCCCCCCCTCCACCCTCTCCTCACCTCCCAACCCCTCTTCGATGCCAACAGTTTCTCCACTTCCCTCCCCTCTCTCCTCCCTCCTTCACTTCACCCTCTCCTTCATCAAGGGAGGCTGCCTACTCACCTCCACTTCCACTAGTACGTCGACGTTTTGATCAGCGGCGTAAGAGTAGAGCCGTACATTGTGGACTTGGGGATTCTCGGCGGATTCGCGGGGGCCGGCGGCCGGCGAGGGAGTAAGAGGAATTGGATGCGCGGTAGATGTCGAAGATGATGGTGGGTTGAGAGCGGACGAGGTGAAGCAGGGGAGCAGGCGGGGGGGGGAGGGGTGATGAGCGGGAGCGGACGAGGGCGTCGATTGAGAGGAGGGGCTGAGCGTGCCACCATGGATGAAGACACGGATACATGCGCTCCGCGGAAGTGGCTTGCGGCCCTACCGACGGACGGTTGGAGGTGGGAGAGGAAGTGGAGGGGGCGGGGCTGGGGTCTGCTAGGGGAGGGGTGGGTAGGGAGAGAGGGGGAGGTCGTGGAAGTGGAGGTGATCATCAAGGGAGGGGGCGGTGGTGGTGGAGCAGTCGCGGAGGAGAGGAAGTGAACGGGGGAGGTGAGTGAGGAGAGAGAGATAGGCTGGGGATGAACTACACGGGAACGGGGAAGGTGAGTGAGGAGAGAGAGAGAGATAGGCAAGTGAGTGAGGAGAGAGAGATCGACTGCACGGGACTAGTAGTCCGTGCAGTTCGAAAAAAACTTTACAACAACAAAATCGATCCTTTTCAGATGAAAATGATCAATTTTGCTGTTTTTTTTTGTGAAATGGTCGATTTTGTTCATTAATGTTGAAAAACGGTTGTTTTTAAAAATTTATCCTACTTGTTGATCCCTTCCTTTCAGTGGGTCCCACATTAACGAAAACAATGTTTTTAATGTTTGTACTACGCTTTTTACATAGAATTTTACACTACTAAGCCAAGAATTTTGAATGACCTCTAAAACCATGTCATTGCCAACCCTGGTGTTCTCTCTCGACTCCTCCCTTGCTCTCTCACTCGAACTTTCCCTCTCTATGACTCCACTCGACTATTGATTTAAAATATCTGAAAATGCAGATTAGTTGCTAAAACTCAAAAGTTTACGAAGACAGCCCTTCATTTCGAAATTCGAAAATACATACTCTAAAAAAATCTAGAAATTATAATATCTTCGTTAAGTATCCAAAATTATGTAAACAACGCTCACAAATTTGAAATCGCAGACCAATCTTAAACATACATAAAAATAAACTACCTCCAGAATATTTTGAAAATTATGAGCAGACCTAGGAAATTATGAAAGTTTTAAAGTGGCCTAGGAAATCCAAAAACTATAAACAGCCTTCTGAACTCCAAAATTTACAGACCGTCCTGTAAAAAAATTAATAATTACAAACAACTGTCTGCAAAATCCAATGCTTACCAACAAACCCTTGAATATCAAAAAATTACCAACAAACCTAAAAAAAATAACCCACAAAAATATGAAAACTACAAACAAGCCCTTATCAAATCAGCAAATTACAAACAATTCACTAAAAAATAAAAATTATAATCAATCCCATAAAAAAATCCAAAAGTAACAAAATACACCCTGAAAAATTAGAAAATTACACTCAACCCACTTTTTACAAATAACCCCCTTGAAAATCCATAAATTACGAAGCCTTTTATAGGAATGCAAAAACTATGAAATCTGGTGCGGAAAATTAATTCTAGAATCGCTATTCTAACGATTCTGAAACAATTTATTAGAATTAAATTCAAATACAACCTTATACTGTGATAGAAAATTATGCAATGGTTTTGATTTACTGGACAGTTTTAGTACTCTGATGAATTTCTATTTTGTCGATTAGTACAAGTCAGTTAGGTTTGAGAGTGAGTGAACTGATTATAATTACTTCTTCATCCTTTAGAATATGAGTTGTATAGCGAAAAGATCATTATTTTCTCATCTTAAGTCCATTATAATTTATAAATACATTAAAAGAAAGAGAGAGAAGAAATCAATCAAAAATTACTTGGATCTCCCACAGTGGCGCTAACAAGCTGAAATGAGACCCTCCTCCCAAAAACTTCATAAATTCTGTCCACTATCGAGGCACGAATATTGGTCATATCCAATACGTGCTTCTTCATTAACACCACAGTTCCCTTAAACTTAACACCATCTTTATTGCTAAGATAATGTGATCTCCTCTTGTAGTAGCTGAGATACAAAAAAAGAGGAGGGAGGAGAAAAATAAGAAGATGAACAAGGAGATAGAAGTTAGAGAACATCTTCATCTTGAGATTCTATACAGCTAGTCAGGATGAAAGGACTTAGGAGATGAGGATTATTTATAGCCAAAAATATATATATTGATTAATATTTTCAGGAAACTAGCGGGCTCCATATACCTAAACTTTAGCCGACTCAGGCACTTATAAGGCCAATTGACTTGTTCATGCATGGGCCCGAGGAGACTAAATTTACTGCCCAACTTAATGAGATATTAAAATACAAATGGCAAAAAAAAATAATATTGCTAAGCCTTAGAGGTAGTTGATGCATGTTGGAGATTCATAATATTGCTAAGCCTCCAAACAACGCAGATCTCAAATATATATGTACAACGAAAGATAAAGAACATGCGTCTCGGAAAAAAAAAAAAGCTTCTATAAACTTAAGTGGATAAGAGTTCTTTGTCCACTAACTTTTTTATTTATTAACTTTATATTAAAATTTGTGCTAACATGTCATACAAATCAAGACATAAATCTCAAAAGTAACCTTGATGTGCAGCACAAATATCAAAACATAATGAAAAGATAAAAAAGTTGATGAATAAGTACTCATATCTACTTAACTTTATAGGAGCTTTACTACACACACACACACACATAGAATATTGATATTATAAGATAGTGAGCTCAAATCTTATGATGAGCTAGACTAATTCAGTCACCAAATTCATGATCGACACTGTATATCTTGTTCAACACGTCATGAAATGTATATGATATAATTTTCACATAATTTGGAGTCTTCTCAGATATGAATCAGATTAGTTTAATATGTTAATTTTTCAAGCAGCTTAACAGCCGTCCCTTCTACGTATAACTAAGAAAATGGTTAAAAATTTCAAAACAATATAATTTTTTCTATATATAGATGATGATGATGAGTGCAAAACATGATGGACGGTGTCGATCATCGTTTCGGGTAGTTTATTAGGTTAGTTCTATATATATATATATATATATATATATGTATGTATGTATGTATGTATATATATATGTATATGTATATATATGTGTGTGTAGCGAGAGCAAAATGTAAAACACTACCCATTTGAATCTGATGGACGTAGTATCAGGGGTACATCATACCTTAAAATCATATTGCGAGATGACCTAAAAAGATTAGGCCAATATCCATCAACAATTAGTTCAAGCTGCTAAGAAAAATAATGATCGAACTTGCGCACTTAGTAATTATCAATTTGATAATGAGAAGAGTCAAAGTTTGCTTGCAAAGACAATAATAGTGCACGAATATCCATTTAAGATTGCATCACATGATTTTTTTGTCATCAACTATGTGCATTCTCTTCGTCTAAACCACAATATTCCAAATCGTAAACAAATCAGAAAGTTGTGTTTGAAGATTTATGATGATTATAAAAAATCTCTTTTTGATTTGTTTTCCACAACTCTATAAATTAAAATTAAGTTTAACAATGGATAAGTGGACATCTTCATCGCAAAATTTGTCTTATTTGTGCATCACCGCTCACTTTATTGATGAATTATGAAAGCTAAAAAAATGCATAATTAGCTTTATTAAAGTTCAAAGCTCCATAAGACAGGATATCTGTTGGCCTTCTTGTTTTGATGATGATTTACAAACAATTTACTAGTAATGTTGTTTGTCTAGTGTTTGTGCATTCCTATGTATTATAGACCAAAAACGTAGTTGGAGGATTGATGGAATCGAGTCTTAACGATCATATCAAATGGAGGTTGGCGGAATTGTGGAGTGAAGCATCATACAATTCAAGTTCAAGATCTAAGTTTAGCTTCATCCGTAACGTGTACTAAGTTGAGCTCAATGAAGATCAAGATCAAGCTTGGGTAATTTAGTTATAGGTTTATATTATGTGTGTTTAATACGTTAAGCTCAATTATCTATACACACACATTTTATTGGTTTCCTTGTATATATATGTAGTCACATATATATACAACACAAGTTTTAGTTTTCATGTTTATAAATATGAAATTACATGTTTCATATTTATTATTGTGATTTGGTTTATCTACTTAGATATGAAACAAATATATTTTCATATACATACGCATAGGTTTCATTTTCTATTGTATTTGTGAAAATATTGTATTCTTAGTTTGTAGACTTTAATATCAGTTTATACATGTTTTACTAAGTCTATAAAAACATTTTATAAAGTTTCAAAAGTTGGTTTATGTCAAAACATTAAAATTCAATCTCATATTTTCATGTTTTGGACTATTTGGCAAAATGATGATTTTTCACAAATGGGAAATGCAATTTGGAAAATTCTTATTGTAACATGTTCACTTACATGTTTATATACTTTTCCCAAAGTTTCATAATTTTTGGACTTCATTTGTTATTTTTTACACATTTTTAAAAGTCTCAAAAATAGCTTTAAAAACATGTTTTGAGTGTATCAAATTTCGGTCGACCGCACCGGTCGACCGAACCTGAGTTCATATGCTCACTGGGCGACAGAGAGTCTGTCAGTCAACCGGTCCTATCGACCGATGAAATTTCCGGTCGACCGACGGGAGCTTTTTCAGCTTCCAACGGCTAGTTTTCTTACCGTTGCTTGGGGCTGTTTTTTGTCTTTTGCTTAGGTTTTTGGCTGAGTTCTTGGGAGGCTATATATACCCCATTGCATTCAATTCTATAAAAAAAACAAGAGAATGGTTTAAAAGATTTTAACAAGGGTTTAAACTTGTTTAGTGTTTGTTTAAGTTTGTTTTAAGAAGCTTTTAAGCATTTGAGTGTTTCGGTTTTGTGATTCAATTCTACAAGAGCTTGAGGAGATCATCTATTGGTGTTTGGGCATTCAACTATTCTCCCTCCAACTCTTGATATATTGAGAAGTTTTCTAAACTCTATTTCTAGTTATTTTATATATTTGATTATCATTGTTATTTAGCTAGAACTACATTGAGTTTAGTTTTGATTTATATCTCTTTGTTCACACACAACCTTTTAAGCTTATTGTATTTAGATTCTAGTATAATTTAGGGTTGTGGGTTTGTGACTAAGAGTTGTGCTTAATTGAGTTCTCACCTTGTTTTGAGAATAATCATTTGTTATATTTGTGCTTATTGTGAGAATCACTTTGTAATACACTTGTACACCGAGTGAGGAGTGTGTGGTGAGAGTCGGGGATCATCCCAAGAGGAGTGGCGTCGGTTGATGTGCCTAGAGAGAGGTTGTAACCGAGCACTTGAGGGAGACACGGCTAGGGTGTAAACGTTATTCGGGTGAACGTAGAAAACCCGGTTGATAGTGGATTTCTCCCCGGGAGTGGGGAGCGGAGACGTAGGACGGAAGGTCCGAACTCCGTGATCATATTGCTTGTTTGAGTGTGCTTTGGCGTTCCTTCATATTTATGTTCATATCTTATATCGCCATTGTCATTAGCTCATTATCTATATCATCCACTATCTTGTTTAGATTGTTTACCCCTTGTGTTAGTTTACATATCCTTACATGTATCACATTGTATATCTCTTTGATAGGATATATCATCTTGTGTTAGTTTACATATCCTTGCACATACATTGCCTATATCTCTTTGTTAGGATATATCTTGTTGTTGTTTAGATTGTTTATCCTTGTGTAGTTTATATATCCTTGCATCATATATTTTTATCATATAGGATATATAGCTTGTTGTTTATATTGCTTATCCTAGCTAATATATATTGTTATATTTCATACTTGCTAGGATAACTTATTAATTAGTTTTAATTGGTATTTAATCAGATTAGATTAGCATAAGACCCTAATCAACCCCCCTCTAGGGTCTAATAATTGGTATCAGAGCTTGGTGCTCTTTGATTTAAGGTCTAATCGCCTTGAGTTAAAGATCCAAGTTAGCTTATTGTGCTAATCTAATTTTGAGCTTTTATTTGTATCTTGCTTGCCTTTTATATTATGGATATGCATGGTTTAGGCTATGCCATCAATATTAAATGCTTTTAACTCATCTCTCTCTAACAAGTTTGTTCATTTTGATAGTGCTTACACTTTATGGAAATTTATTGAAGCACGTCAAGGGGATTTGGAGGCGATCCGACAAGCTTTGGCGGATCCGGCTTTAAGTTCATGTGGAGCTTCATCATGCACACGGCCACTAGGCGATAGCCCTAGCGAGGTTTGCGAGTTCGAATCCATTAATGATTTATCTAGTGATGAACTTGCTTGTGCTAGTGAAAAATTATTACATGCCTATAACAAATTGCATAAAGATTTTATTGATTTAAAAAGCAAGCATGATAATTTAGAATCCAATCATGAGGAGCTAGTGTCAAAATTGGATGTCATTGCAAAAGAAAATACCATGCTTAAAGAAAACAATGACATGTTAATTTTGGAAAATGAAAAATTAACCACATCTATAACTAGCTTATCTCATGAAAAAGATAATGCCATGTTAGAAGTAGAGAACATAAAAAATGATACTGCTTCTTTTATAAATAATTATTTATGTTCTACTTCTAAAGTTAATGCTAATATGCCTAATGATGAGTTGAACAATGTTAAAAACCGTATTTCTTCTTTAGATTCAACTCTTAATACATGCATTAACAACCATAAGAAGCTTGTGAATATGTGTGTCAAGTCTAAGTCAAAATCATCTACTCATCATGCACACATATATAGCAAAGTCTACAAATGCACAATTTGCGGTCGTAAAGGCCATCTTGCTAGATTTTGCTATGATGCATACAAACATAACAATGCTAATGCTCATTGTGCATCTCATGTAGCTTCTTCATCACATACACATGCATATGCTTATCATGCACATCATAAACATGCTAATGTGTTCAAATGTGATCTTTGTGGACGTTTTGACCATTTGACAAAATTTTGCTATGATTTGAAAAAGACCTCACTTTTGCCAAATGATTTTAAAAGACCACAAAAGTTTAAGTGTGATCATTGTGGTAGATTTGGTCATTTGGCTAAGTTTTGTTTTGATTTGAAGAGAGTTTCCCATTTGCAAAATAATTTTAAA